ATAAAGAAAAAGCTGAAAAGAAGAAAGAAGGACAGAGAGGGAGAAAGAAAAAGAGCAACAGAAATAGTGACGGCAATAGGTGAATGCAAGTTGAGCATCAGGCAGATGACAACCAACAGAAACGACAACAGCACCACGCACCACGGCTATTTTCCCACCTCGTAGTCCTCGTTCCAGACTGGTGCCTGTGTTTTTGGTCGAGTTTGAGTCTTGCCAATGTGATACTCGTCACAATCCAAATTTACATATGCATCCAACAATGCATTCTCTTTACTCGTACTACTTGTGTTAGTAAACCTGAAGTTACTGTTCCATCAGTTTAGGTGCTCCTTGGTCTGTCAACTGTATATTTTACACTTCTACAAACAACTAATTTTCTTGTTTGTTATACTCTTGTTTGCCAAAGTTATTATACTAGCAAATACGTTTTTGAAAAGATAAATGTGGAAAGAAAGAAAAAAAAAGAGAAAACCGAAAAAAGAAAAAGAGAAGAAGAAGGAAGAACTGTTGGGATGACCGGGTTATAATGCCCGTATTCACTTTTTAATAAAAATATAAATTAGATGTTCAATGTAGTTTCGAAATCAGAACCGAAGAAGCATGTAAAATGCAGCTAAAAGTAACCTTTTTGACCATTCTGTTGGGCGAAGATCTTGCGCTTCAACTACCCGTATATGAGCTGAACCGTTAAATATCATCAGTGCTTATCGATGCGCATCAGCTGAAACAGAAAAACATAAAAACTTATCATTTACTTTCAGTTTTTCGACGTTTGTTTACTTTTTCTTTTTACCAAAAACTTCATTATTTTTTACTTAAAAGCATTCTAAGCGATAGTCATAACAAGCAAGAATATAATGTTCAAAAAAAACCAGACAAACAATAACAGCAATAAGAAATTTGGTGATAAAAAAATAGCATTTGACAACTGCAATAAATATGCTTTAATCGATCTCATCATATCATTTAATAATTCTTCTTCTTTGAGAGTGGAAGAGGAAAAAAGATGGTCATTTGATAGAGACAATAGAATAAAAAATAAATTAAAATAGTGATAATGCAAGGCTATTCAATTATTTTATAGTAAAAAAATTTTTATTAAAAAAGATAGCTGAAAAAGATTAAAAAATATGAAAAACCACTAAACAGTCGAATGATGCAATTTAGACGTCCAATTCTTTTTCAGCCTCCTTCCCTCCCCTCCCCTCTCTTCCTTCCTCTTAGATCATTATAATTGAACCGTAGGCAGTACAACAATGTCTTAGTTTTCAGAACACAGTTGTTTTACTGCAATGAAGATATGTAGTTTTTTTAAAAGAAGTTGTCATCAGCCTCTCAGCTTCAAATGTTATAACTGCTAAGAAATAGATGAACTGCATTAATTCGACAAAAATCTAGCAATAGGTAAATTAAAACTGAAAGAAAATGTTTTTTCACCGATTAAAATAGTTTAAT